CATCATTAGGTAGAGTTTGATATTTGTTTAAAGTTTTTTCTTTTGATGTAAAATTTACATACAATGAAATATACAAATCTTAAGTGTAAATTTGCTGTGTTTTGATAAGTGCTTACACTTGTGCAACCCAAACCCCAGTCAAGGTATAGAACATGATCATTACTCCAGAAAATTTCCTTTTCCCCTTCCCAGTTAATCTCCAAGCTCCCTGTTTTTGCAGAAGCTCCCACAGTTCTCTTTTTCTCTATTTTAGTTACTTTTTAAAAGTGAGGTTAGAGCAAGAGACTACAAAGTATGAGGACAGGTTGTAGGTGTAGTTCTGGCAGAATAGAATCATATTTTTGTGGAATGTTTATATCTGGTCAGACCATAGTTAATACTACCAATATTACTTTTCACTTGGTGTTAGTGACTTAGAGTGAGATATTTCCATTCTTTTACTCTAGAAATAATGTTGTGATGAGCATTTGCCTATAAATCTTTATATATTGCATGATTATTAATAGTCAAAATTAGTAATATCTTCTTTTATCTGAACCAGATGAAACTTTGGTTCTTTGATGGCATAAATGGGTCACAGTTTTTCACATGCCCTATATTTCCAGTTAAATGCAATGTTCAAACAATATCCAGCAATCTGCACAGCTTGCAGCCCTTTGCCTGAAGAGGCAACATCAGTCATTAGATGGCCTGGTCCTGAGCCCTTGGCAATTTGAGAGTGGACAGAAGATGGGTTTTGCTCAAAGCCAACTGTTAAGGCCTTATAGGGAATATCTGGTAAATGTTCCAGCCAAATAGAGGTGTCTGACCCTTCTCATTACTTTCCCAGAGGCTGGAATTGCGGTCCTAAGGTGAAATCCAGTTGTAAATAACTTTTTCTTTATTTGGAACATGAAACGAAAAATGTATTCTTTATCTAACCATCAAAATATGTATCGAAAGGAACAAGCAAGCTGGATTTCTCAGCAAAGGCTCTCTAAGCAGGTGACAAACAGATGTTACTCTTTCTCTGTAGTCTCCTTCAGGACAGGGCACTTTGATCTTGCCATACCTTGCTCTTAGCAATGATCTTAATCTGCTATTCTCATCCATGCTAGTGGGAAGGAAAAATCATTACATGGCTGAGCCAGGAGTTTCAGGCCCATTTGGGGATTTCCTCAAGGATTTCTTATAAATGTTAATTTGCTGGTTATTGATACAGATTGTTTAGTTGCCTTCCCCTCTCCCCAATGATTATGCCAGCTACTATTATTATTACTATAATAAAAAGGATAAACTTCTTTTAAGCTATTCATTTTTTTGAACTCTGTATTAGATCGCTAAGGATTCCATAGTAAAGTACCACAGACTGGGTTGCTTAAACAACAGTAATTTATTTAAGGGAAGTTGAATTAAAAGAGCAATATATAACTAATCAAGTTTTAATCAGGAGTTTGAGGTTGCTGTGAGCTAGGATGACACCACGGCACTCTAGGCCGGGCAACATGGTGAGACTCTGTCTCAAAAAAAAAAAAAAGAACCAGGGACAAGAGACACTAATTAGGTCTGCATATGGGCAAACACAAGAAAGGACCTGGATTTGTGAGAACTGATGAAGCTATGTGTGAGCTTATGTTATGGAGGCTGGAAGTCCAAGGTGTGGGCAGCGTTTGTTTCTTTTGAGGCCTCTCTCCTTGGCTTGCAGATTATCATCTTCTCTTTGTGTCTTCACGTGGCCCTCCCCCTGTGTTTGCTTGTATTGTATCCTAATCTCTTTATTAGGACACCAGCCATATTGGATAAGAGGCCACCCATACAACCTTGTTTTACTTTAATTACCTCTTTAAAGACTCTATCTACAAAGGTAGTCACATTCTGAGATACCGGGAGTTATGACTACAATATACAAATTTGGGTGGGGGACAAATTCAGTCCATAACAAACCATAAAACACAAATATATAAGAAAGATATGAGCATAAGAAAAGGTAAAACGCTCATACAAAGCTCAATCAGTTCTCACAAATCAAGGTCCTTTCTTACATTTGCCCACATGCAGACCTAATTAGTGTCTCTTGTTCCTGGTTCTTATCCACTAGTTTGTAGTACCAACAGCAATGCAAGTATATGTCAGTTTTAACACAAACACAAAATTAGGTGTTATTAGACAAAAATCTGATTAAAATCTAGTTATATATTGCTTTTTAAATTCAACTTCCCTGAATGAATTTATTAGGTTGAATGTTACCCTTAGATTTATTTGTCACTTACGTGGTTTTCTCATTTATGTTAATTTAACAATATCCGGTCAATGTATATTTTTCTTACTTGATTAAACTCATTTTGAACAACCAATACACAATATAAAAAAATACTGGGACTGGGTGTGGTGGCTTACACCTGCAATCCCAGCACTTTGGGAGGCTGAGGTGGGAGGATAGCTTAAGTCCAGGAGTTAGAGACCAGCCAGGGCAACACAGTGAGACTCTGTCTTGAAAGAAGGAGAGAAAGAGACAGAAAAGGAAAGAAAGAAGAAAGAAAGAAAAGAAAGAAAGAAAGAAAGAAAGAAAGAAAGAAAGAAAGAAAGAAAGAAAGAAAGAAAGAAAGAAAAGAAGAAAGAAAAGAAAATTAGCCAGGTGCAGTGGCATGTGCCTGTATTCCCAGCTACTCAGGAAGCTAAGGCAGGAGGATCACTTGAGCTCAGGAGTTTGAAATTGCGGTGAGTTGCCTGGGTGAGACCAGGTCTCAACAACAAGAACAACAACAGCAAAAGACAACAAAATTGGATATATATATATATTAATATTATAGTTAACATCGGTCTATCTACCACCAAGATTTCACTATTCACATTTTATTACACTTGTTTTAGCACATATTTATCCATATTTCCATCCCT